GGGGGCCACCTGCTAAACGGGGAGAAGCGGCTGGCTCTGACTCCTGGTGGTCTCTTGGTGGCAGCAGCGGTGACACAGCCCCCTACACCAAGCTTTGCTGTAAGGGCTTCTGCATTGACATCCTCAAGAAGCTGGCCAAGGTGGTCAAGTTCTCCTATGACCTGTACCTGGTGACCAACGGCAAGCATGGCAAGAGGGTTCGGGGCGTGTGGAACGGCATGATCGGGGAGGTAGGCCCGCCACCGAGGTCCTCCTGAGCCCACCCCCCTGCCCGCTGGCCACCCCAGGCCCCGCACATCGCTCACCACCCCTCGATGTTCCTGTGCTGGGGTCAGTCGGGCCGGGGCCGGGGCCCAGCTCCTGAGGCTCTCCCAGCTGGCAGGGAAGATGGGCTGTCACCAGTAATGCTCCCTGGGCTGGTCAGGACTGCAGTGGAGCTCTAAGGACCCCAGATAGGAACAGCCGACTCAGCCAGCCGGTGGGGGGGGTGCCGGAAGGGCGGCCGGGGGCGGCTGGGGAGGGTGCTCCAGCCGGCGGGATGCCTCCTCCAACCCGGGCCTGGCCCCCGTGGCCCCAGGTCTACTACAAGCGGGCAGACCTGGCCATCGGCTCCCTCACCATCAACGAGGAGCGCTCCGAGATTGTGGACTTCTCTGTGCCCTTCGTGGAGACGGGCATCAGCGTGATGGTGGCCCGCAGCAACGGCACCGTCTCCCCATCGGCCTTCCTGGGTGCGGCTCGGGGTGGGCAGGGAGGGCTCCGGGGTCTGGGGGGCATGCTTGGAAACAGGGAGTTTGCGGTGGGCCTCAGAGGGCCAGCCCGGCCGCCGCGGGTGCCTTGGAGGTTGGCCGGAGGCTGTGCTGCAGGAGAGTAGGACGGAGAGGGAAGAGCTGAAGCCCGGGTTCCGTTCTGCGCGTGAGTGTTGGGCGAGCAGGGTGGAGGGGCCATGTGGGGGCAGGAAAGCTGGGAAGGCAGGCTGACTTTAGGAGGTGCCTGGCGGGCTAGGACGCGCTAGGGGGGGAGCTTCCCAGGGAGTTGGGGGAGCTGGCCCAGAGAGTGGGAAGTGAGGCTAGCTCGTGACCTGATGGGAATTCAGCGTTTGTGGCGCAGCCCCTTTGTGCCAAGCCTCACACTAGCTGCTGGGGATATGGCCATAGTCCTGGGTGTCGCCAAGCGCCCTGTCAGGAGGTCAGTGGGACTTGCAGTGTGAGGTTTACAGAGAGCCACGAGGACAGGCCAGCCTCAGCCAGGAGCAGAGGAGAGAGTCCCCTTCCTGCTGTGTGGCCTTGAGCAAGTCAGCAAACCTCTCTGAACAGGGTTCCTCAGCCACGCGTAGAAGACAGCAGACCCCCACCCCGCAGGATGGGCATTGCTTCAGGGGACCCGTGCTTCCTGCAGTGATGCCTCCTTGCTCGGGGAGACTGAAACCAGTGGGCAGACTGGTCAGAGCAGCTTAGTTGGTCTCCCCAGCTCCTGGGGCTCCCGGGCCCTGTCAGTACGATCAAAAGTGAGACTTGATCTCAGAGACCCTGATTCCAGGCAGAACAAGCAGCTCGTCCACGTCCGTGCTGGGCCAGGCAGGGCACTTCCAGAACAGGAGTGTGGTTGGCAGTGCTGGCAGGGGAGGGAGGAGAGGGAAGGAGAAAATGCCTTGGGCAAGCTGCCGTGGCTTTGTGGAATCTGGCCAGATGGGGAGGAGGAGGAGGAGGATGGGAGATGGAGCAGGTTGCAGGCCTTGCAGGCTGGGGAATGGGACAGGGAGGGGAGAGCCCAATGGGTGTAAAGTCTCTTTCTGTGAAAGAAAGCTGTGGGTGGGACAGGGATCCAGGGGGAGATGTGCAGTCAAAGGGAAGTTTCCTGGGGTGGGGTGCTGGGATCTTGTCCCAGGGCAGAGGGGGCAGGGAAACCAAGAATCCTGGAGAGCCTGACCTCCCTGGGGGGTGGGGGTGAGGGTTCTCTCCTGGGGCTCTGCTGCTCTGACAGAGACCCCTTGGCTCAGTCCTCCTGCCTGATGGGCCCCACCCTGACCAAGTGGATGCCCCTGCCTGCACCCAGTGCTCTGGGCTGTGGGTGCGAGGGATGGTAGTGAGGCCTCTGAGCTGCCTCCCTCTGTTCCCAGAGCCCTACAGCCCTTCGGTGTGGGTGATGATGTTTGTCATGTGTCTCACTGTGGTGGCCATCACGGTCTTCATGTTTGAGTACTTCAGCCCTGTCAGCTACGACCAGAACCTCACCAGCGGCAAGAGTAAGCTCTCAGCTGGCCCTGGGAGGAGGGAGCACGGGGAGTGGGGGGGGGCGGGGTCAGGGCCTCAGGGACCCTGCAGAGAAGGCTGGATCCTGGGTGGGGTCTCTGGCTTGCGGACAACCAGCAGGGGCCAATCAGGTACATGAGAGAGAGAGAAACGAGGTGGGCTGGCTTGTCCTGGAGTGGGGATGGCTGGGGCCCCGCCCAGGACAGAGTGAAGAACTGGGTCCCTCTGTGCCCACCCTCTCACTCCCAGAGTCTGGGGGCCCATCCTTCACCATCGGCAAGTCTGTGTGGCTGCTGTGGGCGCTGGTCTTCAACAACTCGGTGCCCATCGAGAACCCCCGAGGCACCACCAGCAAGATCATGGTCCTAGTCTGGGCCTTCTTTGCTGTCATCTTCCTCGCCAGCTACACCGCTAACCTGGCCGCCTTCATGATCCAGGAGCAGTACATCGACACTGTGTCTGGCCTCAGTGATAAGAAGGTCCTGGGGCCGCAGCCAGCAGAGGGCAGGGGGGCCAAGAGCAGGGGCAGGCCTGTGGGACCCAGGAGGGGAATTTGAAATGGAGCAGGGAGCTGGGGAGCCTGGTGAGGAGAGGCTGGGACCTGGGGTGAGGAGGCAGAGGGCTCAGGTCCACCGACTGAGTGGCCTTGGATAAGTCTCTTCCTGACCTGGCTTCAATGTCACCACTTGTAAAACACAGGAGTGGCCGGGACAGTCTCTCGGGCTCCTGTGCCCTGGGCCCAGGGGACGGGCTCGGGGAGTGTTGGTGCCTGCAAGGCTGGACGGAGGGTGATGAATGGCGCCTGTCCTCTGCCCACAGTTTCAGCGGCCTCAAGATCAGTACCCACCCTTCCGCTTTGGCACGGTGCCCAATGGCAGCACAGAGCGCAACATCCGCAGCAACTACCGAGACATGCACACCCACATGGTCAAGTTCAACCAGCGCTCGGTGGAAGATGCGCTCACCAGCCTCAAGATGGGGTGGGTCCTCAGCTCTGCACCCACCCTCTGACTTCTCTACCCACATGCCTCCCTGATGACCAGCCTCAGCTCTGGCCCTCCCTGAGAGAAGCAAGGTGGGGACATTGAGGCTGGGGTGTCCTGTAGGACTCCTGGGGAAGGGGGTAAGGAGGTCTTGGGACAGAGTAAACTTTCAAGCAAAACTAGATGCCCACCATGGGGCCCAGAGATGCCGCTGAGGTCCTGACCAGGGTTCAGCCTTGGCCCGAGGTGGTGGTTGTGACTTTCCTAGGGTCCTAGGGGCATGGAGGGGCTGGGCAGAGAGGGTGCGTCCTCTGGGCGTGGAGAGTTCCCTGGTCTCTCTGAGAGGAGGGTAGGTGGGGTCCCCAAGCTACGCAAAGGGCTCTTCTCTGTATCTGGGACCCAGGAGAACCAGAGAAGGCTCTGCCCACCCATCCCTCCTGGTCAGTGCTCAGCAGGCTCGTATGGCCCAGATCCCTGTCAGGCCCCAGGTTTGGTGTCCCCACCTCACATGACCCCTGGCCTGTCCCCAGGAAGCTGGACGCCTTCATCTATGATGCTGCTGTCCTTAACTACATGGCGGGCAAGGACGAGGGCTGCAAGCTGGTCACCATTGGCTCTGGCAAGGTCTTTGCCACCACTGGCTACGGCATCGCCATGCAGAAGGACTCCCACTGGAAGCGGGCCATAGACTTGGCGCTCCTGCAGTTCCTGGGGGACGGTGGGTGCTGCTGCTGGGGGCTGGAGGCCCAGGGTCGGCCATGGAAGCTGAGGTGGGGACAGCTGCCTGATGGCTGGTCGGCATCGCCATTACTGTTCTCTGAGTCCCAGGGCCCGTGGGCAGGAAGAGGTCTCTGGGAGTGAGAGCTGGGCCCATGGGTGGGGGTATTTGGAGGGACAGCATGAAGACCTGGGGAAGAGCTGGGCTTGCCAGGACTACACGGGAGTCCCTGAAGGGCAGGAAGACAGGAGGAAGCTCAGGCCACACGGTGGGGCTTGGGGGGAGGCTCAGATCCTCTCTTTTTTCTCTAGACCCCTGTCCCAACCACTTCCATCTTGAGATCACCTAGGGTAGTGCCAAGGGCCTGCCCAGTCCCAGAGCCGGGGACCCAGGCTTGCCTTGGTACCAGCGGCTCCCATGTGTAAGCAGTCCCGCTGAACCTGCCCCCAAACCCAGAGGCTTCAGCGCAGTAAGATAAAACTGTGATTTTCCATCAGTGCCACAGAATGAGAATGATAGCAATGAAGGTGCTGTGGTGTCCTCGGGGGCCTAGGCCTTTTGTCTCTGTGTGCCCAGCTCCGTGCCTGGCATGGAGATGCCCCATAAGTTTGGCCCCGATGTGAATGATAGCATCAACCCAGCCAGCAAGCTTTTCCTGGGCATGTGGGCGGTGGGCACGTCAAAGGCTGGCCTCGCCTACCCCAGCCCCCGACTCTGCTTTTCTTTCTTCCTGCTCATTGACACCCCCTACGCCCCAATCCTGCCCCCGCTGGGCTATATCCCCGTGTGGGCCTGCAAGGGGGTGGGACCCTGGCTCCAGACCCCTCCTTGCTCCAGGTTTGGGTGAGCATTGGGAGGGTCTTTCCTGAGCCAGTTGTCCCCCTGTCCCGTCCCCACCCTTGCCAGGGGAGACACAGAAGCTGGAGACGGTGTGGCTCTCGGGGATCTGCCAGAATGAGAAGAACGAGGTGATGAGCAGCAAGCTGGACATCGACAACATGGCTGGTGTCTTCTACATGCTGCTCGTGGCAATGGGGCTGGCCCTGCTGGTCTTTGCCTGGGAGCACCTGGTCTACTGGAAACTGCGCCACTCAGTGCCCAACACGTCTCGGCTGGACTTCCTGCTGGCCTTCAGCAGGGTGGGTGGTGCCACCCCGCCCCAGGCAGGCCCCAGCTTTAGGGGCACCAACCCAGATTAAGTCAGAGCTAGCCATGGCCCCATTTACAGATGTAAAAACTGAGGGCCTGGCAGCATCACACAGCAGATGAGAAGCAGGGCCCTTCTGCAGCAGGCGGGGCAGTATCTCGAAGCCAGGCTGACCCGGGGCCAAACCCTCACTGCTATTGACAAGCTGTGTGCCTTTAGGAAGAGAACCTCTTGGGCCTCAGACTGCTCCCGGGGAAACTGCGCTCTCGGTGAAGGAGGCGCTTAACAAATGCTAGTTGCTTCCTAGGAGTTGGGGACGCCTGGGCTGGTGCTTGGACCGGGAGGTGCGCCGTCCCTGAGACGAGCTGGCCGCTCATGGCTGTCTCCTCCCGGCTGCCCAGGGCATCTACAGCTGCTTCAGCGGGGTGCAGAGCCTGGCCAGCCCCGCGCGGCCGCCCAGCCCGGACCTGACCGCCGGCTCGGCCCAGGCCAGCGTGCTCAAGATGCTGCAGGCCGCACGCGACATGGTGACCACGGCGGGCGTGAGCAGCTCCCTGGACCGCGCCGCGCGCACCATCGAGAGCTGGGGCAGCGGCCGCCGCGCGCCCCCG